TATCATCTTTTTAAGTTCATTTAGCTGCTTCTTAAATGAACTCCTGTCTCCATATGCATGTGCATGCTCAGGCTCTCCTCCTTGCTTTCTCCTCCCCTCAATTAAGTGAAGCAGATGTGCAGGGGGAGAATAGATTCTGGCTTAAAACACAGAAAGTCAAATCTGGAGAAAAGTACATATGCTTTATTTTTTTAAAAAAATAATAAAAAACTTCTTCCAAAGGATTTGTACAGGTCATTAATTATGTATTTCAGCAGTTTCCATATTAATACATAATGCTTTTAAATCTAACATCGTAGGTCTCTTTTGTTTAAAGCAGGGGTGTCAAAAGTGCCGGCCCGCGGGCTGGATGCATCACGAGGAAACCGTGCCCATCCCATTGCCGGCAATGGGGAAAAAGCTCCAATACGTCATGCGACATGACGTGACATCGCAAGTTTAACATGTCTGGTTTAAAGCTTTACAATTGTGTTCTTAAGAGTTATTATTACTCACAATAAGCTAAGATAAGGCAAGATAATTGTATATTTTGCATGTTAAGGGTGAATTCTTTTACAAGAGGTTTCACACATTGCTTGTAAAATTAGAAGCTTATTTCCTCTGCTGGTCAAAGAAGGAACATCCATCACTCCCCAAAATATTTCAAACATTTTTCAGTTATCAATGCAATAATAATAATAATACAATAATGATTGAAATAATAATTTCACACCATAAGCAGTGGAGCAAGTCTTTGTGCCTCTCTAGTGGCAGGATCAACAATAGCCACAACATCAAAATATATTTCTCCCTCTTTTGGTCTCAACTTAATTGCACTAGAAAAAGAAAAAAGAAAAAGAAACTACAGTATGTGCAATCTTGATTTTTATATTTAGTCTGTGACAGAAAAATCAGCAAGTCTAAAACATTTATGAATTCCGTTTTTAGAACAGTTAATGAGTCAAGTCATAATCCATTACTATTTTATCTTTTAAATACTTCCTTAGCACTTTTTGAAGAAAATATGCATGGAAATTTATTTAATTTAATTTATATGCCGCCCTTCTCCCAGCGGGACTCAGGGCGGCGCACAACATATTTAAAACAAAAGCATATATACAATCCCCCCCTGTAAAACCGAATTAAACCAAATTTTAAAGTTGTGTCTTCCAAATTCCTTAAAATGAACCCAGTATAAAATCCTCCCTAGGTCAGGTCCGCTTGCTGAAAGAG